GTAGAATGTTGATTAATGCTTCCTTTTCTTGTTTATATAATTTTAATGCATCTTTCCTAAGAGTAGTTCTAGAAAAAAATTGTGCATTAGGATTATGTACAATTTTAATATAACGCTGCCAATTTCTTTGTTCAGTAAAACTTAGTGGTTGATCTAATGTAGCTATTAATCGTGTCATTTTCATACGATTAACTTACGGTTCGTATTTCCACGTGCTTAGACCGTCGGTTTGGCGGTCAAATGATAATTGCGTTTGGCGGAGATCAGCTCCGCCTCCTTGCTTTTGTAGACACTTTTCAGAGTGTCTTCTTAAGTGTGTAGTGCCGTGAATAGTGTTACCTTGTAATTTCTCACCACAATATTTACATTGAGCTATGTATTTAATGTTACCGTTATTGTCGACCTCCTCAAATGTGTTGAAGTGCTCCCAAACTGCTGAGGTGCGCTTGCATTTCTTCTTAAAACTTGCAACACTTGCTCTAGCCCTACCGCTTGCCTCTCCTCCATGGCCACCAGTGCCCCCACCATTACGTCCCCGACCTCTAGTACGTCCACCAGTGGTCGGATTTGCAGTTTCCTCAGCAACTCTTTCCGTAGTTTGCGATTCCTGCATTTGAAAAAAATTAGGAAATTGTCCTTCTTCGATGTTGAATTGGACATCAATGGGAATATCACTACCATAACCAGAAGAAGCCATTATGAAAAAAAGAGAAATTGAGAGCACTTTGAGAGAGATTAAGAGAGATTGAGAGATATTTAAGCGAGATTAAGAGAGATTTGAGAGAGATTAAGAGAGATTGAGAGAAATTGAGAGAAAATGAGAGTTTTTAGGTGAGGAAAATGGTTGGGGGAGGGGGGGTATTTATAGGAAAATTTTTGGCTTGAAAAAAAAATTTTCCCCTAAAAATTCGGGTCCAACAGCTACTAACATTTTTGGGCAGTTTGGGTAGAATTCGGGCAGGTCGGGCAATGGTAAAAAATATAGCCATTAGGTTCAAATTTTTGGGTAAAAATCGAGCGGCGGGTCGGGTTCGGGCAAAAAGATCCGTTGGGTTCAAAATTTGGGCAGATTTCGCGCTAACGATAAAAAAAATTCGGGTATTTTTCGGGCAACGGTCAAAAATTTCGGGCAACTTCGGGCAAAATTCAGGCAAAATTCGGGCAAATCGGGTAATACCGGAAAATTAAAAAAAAATCCAGCGAATGGCGGGCGGACGACTTCTCCACGGCGGCGGGTAGTCAGGAGAATGAATATTTTCGGGCTGTCCGAGCCCGTGCCCGAAAAATACCATGGACGGGCGGCGAATGGCACCTGCCCGCTGTGCTCAAAAATTTTTGGGCACCGGGCTGCCCGCCGCCCGAAGTTGCAACACTATCTTTTAATATTTTTATTTCAACTGATCATAAAAATAAAAATTACCCTTAAGTCTCTACACATTAAAGGCTTACAACCTATCAGATACATTCAAGCCTAAATTACTCAAATCTTAGCAGATCTCCGAGGACTTTGTAAAAATAACTCAATAGAAAAGTTTTATTAGTAAAATAACTTTTTAAAAATTTTTATTTGTAAAATAACCACTTTTTACAAAGAATGATTAGGACTCCTTATTCATAAAAAATGGAAGAAGGTCATTTTGCTAATTTCACTTTGTTGGATAGTCATTCTAGCATATTGCTCCATATCTCTTTTAAATAGGTTTAACATTATATAACAGTCTGCAATACATAATTATTCACATATAAACCCCATGTTAGATTAAGAATCCAACAATTCCCTCTAAGTCTCGTTCTATGTATTAGATCCTGTAAACTTACTTTCTCCACATAGTTAATATATTTTGCTCCTACCCATAGTAGAAGTAGCTTTCAATTTAAGAGTGAACGACTTTAATATTATGTTTGGTAGAGGGATTCGTTCCCTGATTCGAATCATGATTCGTGGTTCGCTACAGTATTTTATTTTTTTTGTGTTTTATTATTATTATTAATGTATTTATTAAATTCTCTGTTAACCAATTTTTACCATCAACAGGAATACAATCAAAATTAACATCTTACCATCCCCATCTAGCCATTTAAAAAGTTACCAAAATGGGGAAAGAACATTATTAACAATAAAAGAAATGATGCATATCAACAAACAATATACATATGTGCAATGTATATATCCAAAACTATGGTGAATGCACAATTTCTATTTCTTTTTGTCGTTATAAAATCCATAAACCGTGTAAATAGTCTGTGCAACGGTGAGAAGCAGCAAAATAAGAGCCGCCAATGCCGATATGAAGGACCATGGAGTATCAAAGTAAGTGTACTTGAATCCCGCCCATTGAACATGCCAAGAATTCCTGTAATACATATGAACATCGTTGAACAGATCCGCCAAATAGCACAGATCCATATCGAAAGCAACATCTCTCCCCAAATTGTTGATGAATCGCGCGACTTCGCCATCGTTTCCGAAGCAATTCTCGATGATGTTCCTGTCGCTGAGGTACTCGACGTCCCGGTAGGTGTTGACGAGGCAGTCTAGAAGCGTCGCGTAGGTGGTGAAGTGTTTGGTGCAGGATCTATGGCACTGTTCGAAGGCCACACAGTTGAGGAGGAACGAGGTCATGAAATCGTCGATCGTGATCATCGGCATCTCCAATACGCCGCTGCGGAACGTTACGACGAGGAAGCTCTCGTAGTCGATCTGCCGGAGTTTGATCCCGGCGCGGCGGAGCTTCGACACGCAGTGGATTATGTGCGTCGGAGTGTTTTTCCTCCGGTTCGGCTCCGGATGGCTCGGCGGAATTAGGCTTAGCCTCACCAGATCTAGCAGATGCTTTGCTTTCAGATCGCGATGTTTCTCGATCACGACGTCCGGTCTCTGCATCGCGTTGTTGAAGAATTGCAGAGCGAGGATGGAGAGTGTCGGCGGATTTGGGGATTTCTCCTCCGCCGGCGATTTCGTCAGACTGAAAAGCTTCTCGAGGACGAAGAACGGGATCTGGTTCTCGAGGCGGAGGAAATCGCGGTAGAAGAAGGGGATGATCCACGCCATGGTCAGAATCGGATCGTCCGATTCGAACCGGACCAGATTCGCGGCCTTTCTGAACAATTCGATCACGAAGCAGCCGTCCAGAACCATCATCTCGACGAATTCATCGCTCGTAAGGCAAATCACCTCGGAGTAACTCTCTCTTGCGCGATCCTCGATTTCCGCCATGGATTTCATCAGGTCCTCGAGTTTCAACCCATTGAATTGCTGCGTTCGGGAGAGAAGATTGCCGAGATACCGCCATTTGTGCTCTTCGATCATCTTGAGCTGAGGCTCGCCGCGGCGGTAGGGCCCGACGGAGACGATGTGAGGGGAGTAGACCTTGCCGTTGACGTCGACGAGGCTCTGCGGGACACGGAAGATGCAGCAGGAGTGTTTCCCTGCGGCCGGGCTCAGCAGACGCGGCGGCTCGGACATCTTCCGGTGCATCAGGGCCACCCGATCCTTGCTCACCTCAGGCATCTTGATGACGTGGCAAGCCCCATCACCGTTCGTTGAGGTTGAGTTCGTCTGCCTGTTTGTCTCCTCCATCTGATATTCTTTGCTTGTGTAGTGACAGCTAAAACCTGTGAAATGACATTAACGTGTAATGGAATTTAGAATACAGTAAAACCTGTTGAGAATTTCTGAATTTTTTATTTTGAGTCGAACCAATTTTTTTTAAAAAATAATCATAGGCTCTTTTTAATGCTCGTATATACTTGATAAAAAAATTTAAAAAATAAAATCCGTTCATCGTAATAAAGGTATTGTACAGAAAATAGATGCAGATATATATTTCAAAACGGGGAAAAGTTGGAGGAGACGTTACTTGCAAGACAAGTCAGATTAAAAAAAAGAAAAAAAGAAGAGTTTATTTATTTATTTATTTTTTCAAATGGTAGACTTTTATGTTATGACGACTGGATTGAGAGTACTGCGAAAGAGAGGTTTATTGAATTTTTTTTTCTCTTTTCCTCTTACTGCTTCCAAGCTTGTCACCCTAAAAGAATCATTTTGTTCTTCACGTTATTGTTTTCTTTCTTGTTTGGTTAAACACATAACGATTAATTCTTAATTCTAAAATACAGTACTCTATATAAAAAAAAAAAAAAAACTTTTATTATTAGATTTTTATACAATTTTCGTGATACGTTTGTACTCTTACTTTTTTTTTAATTGCCTTTCTTTACAAAATAATAGTTTCACTTATACTTAATGCTACACATTTTACTTCTACATGTAATGATCCTTTGATTGTTGCTTTTTTTGGGCTCTGCTTTTGTGATTTTGATTTTTGTATTGGTTCGTTGTATATATAT